CGAAAACATCGGCTACATTTTACTGTTGCAGCTGATTCAGAGGTACCTGTCTAGGTTTTCTATTTTCTATTTAATTCTAATAAGTACCGTGCTATATGGTTCCTGACATTGTGTTCTCAGCTTTGCATGTGCCTATATGATGGGTGTTTTTCCCTAGAATATATTAGCATCAAAAACGAACTTTGGGAAATTAAGGTAGAGGTGCACATATTGATAAATGCCCAAAACATTTAAAGCTAGAAGTAGCACCTCAATCAAGCTTTTAATATTAATCCGGCCAATCATGATAAATGCTTCTTGTCTCTAGTTGCTTGTTTAACCATGGCCATTAAGCTCTAGACTATGATTAATATAAATGGAAGAGACTAACTTGAATTTTGACGAATGAGATGCCAGCTATTTCCTTGCATTAGTTTGCTCTGTATGCATATTTATCTCTGAATTCCAATTTGTATGTGGTTAGTTTTGTTATTTGATGATTGTATGACCTTATAGACCTGAGGGCAGTCTTATATTGACTGTGATGTCCAGATGAATGTCTTTTGTTCTTGAAGCTTGGTTCATGCACTATAAACAGTAGAGACTCTTATTAATGATGCAATTAACTAGGTTTTGTGTCAATCTTTATTGTATGTAATTGTGCAGATTACATAATGTCTTACAAATTAGGAGCAGGACTACGTTTTGTGTTGTAGGATAGTTGGATAATTGGATCAATATTGGCTGAGGGTGATCTGATTTATTCCGAGAAATTGGGTATTTAGATAAATTGACTGGGATCAGACATTTCCATTATTGGTTTATCCTAGCACATCCCAACCCATTAAGTCTTGGAATCTTGCCATTTGAACGAGAGAATGAGAGAATATAACTGAGACGAGGAAGAAGAGAGGGAAAAGGGAGGGGAGATTGTGAGGGAAGAGAGGGCACCTAGAAGAAGAAATTTTGCAGAGGAATACAAGTCAAGAAAGAGGGAGGCAGACTTAGCGCAATAGAGTGAGGAGAAAGAGTGCCCCTCCCTTTTGGGCCCCAAAACTGGAAAGACTGACAGATTTAGGAATCTCACTTAAATTTTTGTATCTTGGATTATTGATTGGATTTATGGATTTAGACCAGATTCAACATGCTGTTTACATTCCACAGAGAATGGATTAGACTCCAGTGTCTACATGTTACCTACTACTATCGTTATGATGATGACATAATTTAACTGGACCTGTTAACAACAGTGAGTATAATAGTAATTGTTGTATGTTATATTGCATTTTCTGAAGTCAAGCGTTACAAAGTGCCAATTCACATTTAAAGAATTTAGTAGTAATTAATTGCTACAAAGATTTCAATCTTATTTTGATTTTAATTTATTTTTTATTTTTACATAGTATTGCTGGAATAATTTTTAACATATTTTTTAAATATTTTAAAATGATATAATACTTTTAAATATTAATTTTTTATTTTTAGTTTTTGCAATATTGTTTCAACATTTTCATAATTTTCTATTTATATTATTTTCTTTATTAACTTGTTTAATAAAATTTATATTTGCAAAACATTTTCAGTTTTTAGGAAAACAAAACCCCTTCAGGATTTATCAGTAATTTAAAGGTAATGAATAATATAACACACGGCACATTGTGTTTCATTGGATATTATATTCATATATTAACTATAAATAAGATGCATCACCTAATTTGTTATTTGTCATGCTGTATTTTCATATGAAATATAGTAATTTAGAGTAACTTCATTACAAATTAATATATGATATGCAACATTATTTTTATGATGTCTTTGGTCTATTTTTTCTAATTCTTCTCATTATCCTTATTTTATAAAATTTGAAATTTAGAGATTTTTTTGTTTCTCAATTCTGATTTCTCTTATATAACTGGTCCAACCAATGCTATGTTTTTGCAATTGACTGATCCACATACTGATTCTGATTTATGACCTATGTTTTGATATAAAGCTTCAGAATTATCTGGTAGAAAGAGTTGCATGCATTAGAAGAGCACATGCGATTTAGAGGAATGAATATGATTATTGCAAATGAGTAGCGCAAATACGTTATGAGGACTTTCTTCTGAAATAGGTCTTTAATATATAGGAATCTGTTATAAGTCTTTAGTTTTCTTAAAATCATCCAGTGGGTTCTCTTGCATCATTTTCTAGCTGTTTGCCAAATTGTCAATTTGGAAAGAACAGAATGGTGGTGTTATGCAACAAAAAGAACCATCTAAAGTAGATATCAGAAACTAAAAGGGGCATCATGACTACTCCGTTGGAACATTGTGACTCCCTCTCTGCTGGAACAAATGGTTGGTTCTTGATTGAGTTCCAATTTATTTGTGTTGCAGATCTCCACTTCGCCTGTTCTAGTATAAGCAAATGCCACGCATCATAGTTTCACCAGGTGGGTTTGACCAGGCTGTTAATTTCATGAAAAGCAATTGAGAATTGAGATCGTGTATCAGATTTATTTCATCAAGGAACATTGTTGTAATTAATACAAAACACCTTTGAGCCACCTGAAGAAAAACACTATAGAGCACTGACCAACCATGCGGTTTTAAGATATGCTAGATCTATTGCTGCATGCTTTATTGGTCAGTAATTACAACTAGGATAATCCAGTGAGATATAAATTTCCCTTTCAAAATTTTTCTTATTCAGTGGCTAGTTATGGCATGACATGAATGGTTTTTATGCAACAATGATACCTTGGAGATGAATCTGTACTATGAGGTTGGTGGAATAGATTCTTCGTATCCTGGTTAGGTGTTCGGATAAATATAGCTTGTGGGTGGATATGTATAATGGATTTTGTGGTTCTATTAGTTGCATACTGTCAACTTGTTGGCATGATGTTTTAACTTGCATTGTGCTGTTGCCATCCTGACAACATGTTGTTACAAGTCACATCCTTTGGTTCCGTTTAGGCACAAGAAAGGTTTTCCAATAAAAAGAAAATGGCTTACCATAAAAAACCTTTCGAGAAAAGAATTTTGAACAAATAACACCCCCATGGTTATTTTTCTTTTCATGACTCCTGTACAAGGCAACAAGCTTCAGACGATTAGCAACTAAGTTAAAGCTGTGCCTTGAAACGAACATTGTTACCATATTTTTATATAATTCTTTGTGAAAGGGACATGTCAACCAGCTTGGCATCGCAGATTTTAGCGTTAAATACTTGATTGTTGCGTCGTCTAATAGGTTCAGCGATACCATGTTGAAATCTGGTAATGTTGTTTGCTATGCATTTCACTGGCTCTGTTACTAATTCATGCCTAATTACTCCCAAGGGAATATTGTCCATTTTTGGTTGCCATATCATTATTTATTAAGTTAATGTAGCCTCATTTATACATGGTGAGAAAACCATACCATTTGTCTTCATTATTATGACCTTCTAGCTTCTGCTTCATTCTCCTATGTGCTTTGTTTTTAGTATTCTTTGATTTAGTTATTTTTTAATGAATTCAAAGGCTTATCTGCGCTTGTTTGTTCATTGGTTTATCTGCCATACCAGGAAATTGAAGCAGCTGAAAGCACCTTAACCACATTTAAGCCTTATGAGATCACAGAGGAAATGCGCCAAGAGATGGATTACAATGCTGACCGAGCATGGTAGGTGCTTGTTTATGAACCTTTCTTTTGACTGAAATCAAAGTGTTATAAACTTGTCTTGAAAATGTTACTCTGACATTCAATTTAATCAACTTATCTTTTCTAAGATTTTTACTGAAAACAAGGATTGAGCACCTTTTATTTTCTATAAATTTGACGTATTGCTTCTTGTACATAATCCTTTGGGGCTTAATGAATGGTATGTCATGAAAGTATCAATTGCGCTCTAAGTCCCTTGATGTTTTTTTTGTAGGTACGACAGAGATGAACATAACACAATGTTTGATGGTGATAGCTCGTCATTGTTTGGTGGGGATGATGCTTCATATAAAAAGAAAGAAGCATCACTGGCAAAGAAACTGGTATAATATATCATTGCCTCTTCCTTTCCTGATACCGAAATAATGTAGTTTTAGCAATATAAGCTTCCATATTATTTTTGCTCTATATATTTATATCTCTTTATGTTAGCTTGCAATTAGAAGCACAAATGATTTTTGTTGGAAGTACTTCAATGTGAGTTCAGCCAATTAGTTTTGGTAATAGTGAGGCTAGTAGCACATACTCCTGGGTAGCATGGTGATACTTGCATTTTGGATCTTCAGTTAATACCACTAATGCAATTATAAACTTCACAAAATGAAGCCAGGTTTTTCTTTTATTTTTGCTTGGATGGTTTAAATGGTTTTTTTTTTTCTGAGAAAGATTACCTTTTACATTTTCACTATGGAGTTTGTTGGTCACATTGGATTTGCAATTTGTCAAGAGTTTAACAAGCAAATTTTTTTTACTTGGCTCTCCTTTGGGACCTGGTTTAGTTGTCTTTTGATCTGTTTTTTGTCGAAAGGTTCAATGGGTTTACATTTTTTCTTTTTGCTTGGGAGGTTAAATGATTTTTATTTTCCTTGATGAAGGTCATTACCTGTTGTATTTTCATGATGAAGTTTGTTGGTCCCATTGGAGTTGCATTTGTTACAATTTAAAAGCAAATGTTTTACTTGGCTCTCCTTCACGACCTGGTATAGTAGCCTTTTGGTTGGCTTTTTTGTTGAAAGTGCCTTTGAGTTCAAGTCTATCTCAAGTCCAGGTAAATTTAGATTTAGTCTATCGATGATGTTGGGTCCTAATTAATTGTGTCAAGTTATTTTTTTTTTCTGTTTTTCAGAATTTTCATTTTTAATTTATTAGTATTTGTTGTGAAAGGGTATTGAGACTATTTTAGTTATTTTAGGATTCTAACCTTGGTTTCTGGTGAAATATTTGAAGTGCAGCTTTTGGTATGTGTAACTAATTAATTGATATCCAAAATAAGCATCAAACTTATACTTGATGGATGTAGCAATAATACATCATATCAGCCTTTGATATGACAGTATTAAAGATTCTGGCTTGGGAGAAAGTAGAAAATAAGAAATACAACCAGTCAATTGTAATCTTTATTGTCTTTCTGATCTATATCGAGATTTAATTTTTATTATACTACTTATGAGAAAGGTATGTTGTATCGAGTTATGAAATTAATATATAAGTTTTCCCTAGAGTATGACATGGTCATCCTATTTCCCTGCTTATAAGATTCATCTTGTTTCTGATCTGGCCTTTTACCTTGTTCACATTCGCTCTGTTTTATACACCTATTACATCTGTGCTTGCTTCACTCATAATAATTTGACTGAAGCTTTTTTGGATTTTGATATTACTGATATGAAGTGGAAGGTTCTGAAATGCTCTCCATGCAGTTTCATGTTTCTGATTTTGATGTTGCGGTGGTCATATGACCCATCTTGTACAAGACATGTACTCTCTCATGATGCAGGACATTAGTATTAGGCTTGATATGAACATGTTTTTGTGAACCAGCAATTACCCTTCAGATTAAAAGAAAATTTTTGATAAGCGCAGCTATGTTTTGTCTGCCACAATGTTGAGTAGCCGAGAAGAATATTTGAAATGGTCGGAGCAGCTTAAGGACTTTGAAATGAATGTCTAGACAGAATAAATAAAATAGTGAATGGCACCTCTGGAAAGTTTGATATGTAGCCTGTTAAGTTATCATGTGATGGAACATCATCTGAAATATATTGGATGTATTCAAGAGGTCGGGCGAGTTAATTAAATTTGTCTTTAGCGGTTGGAAAGCTTGGCTTATTTGATTCCTGACTTATCTAGACTTTGTTAACCCAAAGTCATTATCACCTGCTGGATCTTTATCCTTGGTACAACTTGGAGATTGTACTAATATTATTGCAAGTCATAGTAGAAAAATTAAATTCATTTACAGATACCACTTTTTTTCTTATATGTGTGTAATGCTGCAGACTCGTAAGGATGGAACATTGATGACCCTTGCCCAAAGTAAGAAGTTATCACAATTGACTGCTGATAATGCTCAGTGGGAAGACCGACAGCTATTGAGATCGGGGGCTGTTAGAGGAACAGAGGTGCAGATTGACTTTGAGGATGAGGATGAGCGCAAAGTCATCCTTTTAGTCCATGGTATGCTGAAGTTAGATCTAATTGTTCTACAGTATTACTCTGTAATGTCTTTATCATTACCATTGATGCTATGTTCCAGTGAGTACCTCGGTGTCCTATTCTGTCATGGAGGAATATGAAGTTGATAATGAACTCTTAGGATGATGTTTGTTGTTCATGCTATAGATTTTGGGCCACAAGTTCTAGTGCGGTGTCTACGGTAATCACATTATAATCAGACTCATATTTGTGCTTACAAAGGGATTTTGCATAAATTAAAGAAAATTTTCTTATATATCAAGTCCGATAATTTTCTATTATTGCACATTTTTCCTGTCCAACTGTGGTGATTATTTTGGCATAACAAACCTGTGGATTATGTACCAAGATTTGTTATCACATATCTTACCAAAAATTAAGATAATATTAGAATCCTAATCTAATTTAAAGATACCCAAATCTATTAAAAAAGGAGGATTATTTACCAAGATTTGGTATCGCATATCTTATAAAAAGTAAGGATAACATTATAATCATAATATAACCTAAATATATCGAAATATGGTAAAAAAATCATTTCTATACATTTTAATGAAAATAATTTTGTAATACCTAGAAAATAGAAAAAAATCATTTCTCAAATTTGACCAGCAAATATCTGTAAGATAAATAAATTTCCAAAAGGATTTATGTGGTGAAATGTGCAATTTGTTTCTGTGATAAACGTAACTAGCTGTTTGAGAGCTTATAGAAGAGAAATGTCACTTGTTTCTAAGATATTTTGAATGTCATTTGCATTCTTTAAAGTATACAATACCTATGCCAGAAGCAAGCTACCCTTTTGTTTAAGAAGTCTACTGGGAAGTGTTGTAAATACAAGCAGTTTCTTGAGAGATCCTGAAGGGCCATCATTGATAGACAAGATAAAAGACTTGAATAATAGAAATTGTCCTGCGTTAGACTTATCTGATATTCCATCATCTATGATAAATATCCATGCGTCATGAAAAAATGCTGGTCTTTCAGAGAGATGTTGTTTGTTTCCACTGTTTTGAGTGAGTCAAATTTTATATAAATACCAAGTTTGTTTGGAGGAATCCTAACTTATCTTTGATGAAGTAAAAAAAAAACCTCTTAGT